GAGGCAGCCTCTCACATCCCAGAATACTTACCTTTAACATGTTTACAACATGTTGTGCCATGCAAGTCTTCGTTATCTGACGTCCTTGCGCAAATATGTGGGAAAGAACGCGGCAGGGGAGAGAGTCCTGCTAATAGTGTATTTTACACCAAATGATTTCTCTCATGAAAGACATCTGCTTCAATGGAGCTTTTGGAAAGCATCTTCATGGTGGCTCCTTTCCCCTGCCTGGCCCATACAGTATGAATATCCAGCAGTGCTCCTTTTTACTCCTTCCCCCTGCAGGGTAAACACTCCTCTCTTCCTTTCCTTCTCTGCAAGCACTTCCTTGTGGGTCTGAGGAAAGATCAAGTGCCCCTTCGCTTTCTACCTCCATTTTGTCACCACTTCAAAAGTAAGATTCTGTCTGCTTTTCTCACCTTTATTCTCGTAACTGCTGTAGCAACCAAAAGAAGATCATTAAAATCTCACTAAAAAGGGTTGAGTCTTCACTGTGTACACAGCTACAAAAACTGGAAAGCACCAATTCTTACAATAACCACCACCGTGTTCAATACTGTTACAGTGTTCTTGCTGTACAAACATAACATGTGAACAGAATCTTACCATTATTTCACTTTTTACTAGCATATTTTTTATATTTATTCATACTATTATTCATAAGTGGCCAATTTTTCATGTGTTGTTGCCTAAGCTGTACCCACAAAAACTCCGTATGCCTCTGCTCTACAGCCAAAGCTTACGCAGACGAGAACTCACACACAGAGACAGCTAGACTGGTAGTAGCTGATGTGTGCTCATTCCCATACATGCTTGTAAGATGCAACAAAGGCTCCACATTATAAAGTAAAGATATCACTCGTGCCAATTAATTGCCATTAATGCAATATTTCTTATACTTGAATGACACACAAAATTAAGTTTGCTAAAGGATAAGAGCTCTCCGTACACAACTCAGATGCACAGGCTTACAATTTCATAAGAAAAAAAAAATCTTAAAAGATCAATGAGGAGATCTAAAAAGTGTGTAACTCTCTGGGGAATAAAAAATTGAGGAACATGGATAAACAAGAAGAATTTAGAATGAGTCTGTGCCATCAACTCTCTCTTTTCTAAAATACAGTACAAGGTAGATCAATCAATAGAATGACTGAAGCATGCTACTTTCACTTTGGTTGCTCCAAAGGCAAAAGTCAATGTCACCAGGAAAATAATTCATGTATGAAACCTGAGCATACAAGTATCAAGCGACTTAAAAGAAGTTTTCGTCACTTTGTCAAAACCACATTAACATCCTGTGACACAGAGGTGTGGTTTTGCCCTTTTTTTTTTTCTTTTCTTTTCTTTTTTTAATTGGACTACTCAAACACGTGAAGCCCTGACAGCATCTGGTGCTGGAAAATCCAAAGACAATGATCCACCACCTGCAAAATAATTGCCAAGTGATCAGGACAGGCAATAAACTGTCTCACCAAATCCGATGGCGAAAGAAGGCAGCCACCAAAAAAAAAATAACATGCTCAACTCCACGTGGAGCAAGGACCATGGAAAGGACCTAATAGGACCATTCAGAAGGACCTAATTTGGCCATCTGTGACAAAAATGAATTTTGCAATCATACTTCTGGACACACTTAAAACTTTTGTAGCTAGGTGCCTTTTGAACAATGTCTTTTAGGTTCAAAGGGTAGAAATTATCTCTCCAAGCATATCTGACACTCATACATGTAAAATCTAATTCCATGTAATAACATTCTACGCACAACAGTAATTTTATGGTTGCATCTTTACACTACTGTGCCTCTTTCCTCCTCCTGAGACAGAAGGGACATTAGTGCAAAACAAGAGTCAGTAACAAGGAATGTGAAAGCCTGAAGAACCAATCTAAGCAGTAGCAACAAAGCACTGAGAGATGACCTGCAATACCTAAGCCATGAGGACTTGAGATGAGTTTTTTAGTTTGATAAAATATGCATTGGCTGGTGGCCAATCTCTTAGGTAAGTCACTTACATAACTATAATTTAAAACAGGAATGAAAGCACATTTAAGAATACAAATTCAAATCTGGTGCTTAAATTAGTAATTAGACACCTGTATATGACTGCTAAGTGCAGACTAAAGAATTGCCTCTTGAAGAATGACACACCAATAGACAAACTCTGGATGTTTTTGCCTGCCATTCTAATAAAAAATAAAATGCCCTTACTTGTTTTCAAATCCTCTTGCCTAAGTGCCAACTGCTAAAGTAACTATTACAGTGATATCATGGGCATCCAGTATCTCTCTTCCCACAAACAGTGGTCATTTATGTCATTTATGACCATGTTTAGTCAGTACACCCTTTCTTACATGTCTGCAAAACCACTGGACAATTTGGGCTTTTTCGGAGGACAGATTCACTTCAGCATAATAGCCAGAGTAGATTTCTAAGATGGAATTTCAAATAGAAGAATGGCTGGGCTTTAGTGTTTTTCAATATTTGGTTGCATAGTGGGTTTTTTTCCATCTGAAAGGATGGACAACAAGGCAGGCTGAAGCTGCTCAAAATCCCCTGCAGACTCTGCTATCGCCATCTCCGATGGATTTGTCCCCTAGTAACCACCAAGTAATTGGCACAAAATCTTCCCTCTCACCTGGCAGTTTCTGTTAGTTCAGTTTCATACCGCCCAGGCTCAGCCAACTCAGAGTTCATGTCTCCAGAAGTTTCAGGAAGCAGAGGTATTTACTCAAGACACTGAGGCCACCATATTTTTGGCCATGTGTTTTGCTCACAATATATAAAGCCAATTTAAAATTAAGAACAAGTAAGTTTTGCTCAGTTAAAAGACAAAGCTGTGCACTCTCCTGCATCTGCCCAAGGTATGCACAGCTGACAGCGCCATTATAGCCACCTCTGCTAACAAGCTGCTTGGGCCCATCTACACAGCACAATGCAGCACCTTGTGAAGGTCTCGGCCATCAGCAGCTGGAACATCCGTATGCATACGGCAGCACCTTGCAGAAATACAAGCAGGGGTCCTGGAAGCTGCATGAGCCTACCCACGCAGTGTAGGGACATCTGACCTAGGCACGGCTACACTGTGCTCTCGATAGCATCTGCAGGCCCTTTGGAAAGCACCTCAGGGTGTCCACCCCCACCTCAGGCCCAGACATTTAGAGATGCCACAGCTGTTTCACACACGTAACACACTAAAACCAGCTTCCCAATGCAGGTGAGTCAGTCCTAGGGCTAGCTGCCGTCCCTCTCCCCATCTCCTGCTCCTGCCCTTGCCCTCGCCCAGGACCTTGCCCGACCCTCTCTGATGAGCCACTTAAAGGTTGAGCCAGCCAGTGGTGGGACACTGTACAGTTAGGGGGTTGTTGGTTGTGGGTTTGGGGTTTTTTTTTTTTTGTTTTGATTTGGTTGGCTTTTTTTTTTTAAACTACTTCTCCCAGTTCACTCTGGGGTGATTAGTGCTGGTGCAAAGAAGCAGATGGGAATCCACAGAAGTGGACTGAGTGCCTGTGAGGAAGAGAGCCAGCATCAGTGTCAGAGAGCTGTGAGATCAGTTCAAGCTGCAATTTGATAATATAGCCAAGTTTGCTGCGGGAAAATACCGTAAAAGAGCTAAGTACTGTTAACTTAGCAGTTGGTGGTATTTACCTATGCATAACATATTCTACACGAAACCCACCAGCGAATATTTCAATTAAATCATAGTATTAAAAACAATCTGACTAAAAGGAAGCATGACTTTCAAACTTCTGCAATACATACATTTGAAACCAGCACTCTCTGGTGAGCATATAGCAGTGATAAGTCAGCAGTTTCCAAAAATGGGTTTAATTGCTTAGAGTTGTAAGTGTGACACAGCAGTCTTACAAGCAGCAAGCTGTTGGTACTCTGCAGTGGTAGAAACTGCCTAGCAGGAACACAGTGCTTGGTACTTGGCTGCCAAAAAGTGAATTCTCAGATACAGGTATTTCACAGCAGAGGTTAACAAGTAATTATTAAAATTAACTACATGTCATGCAGCTACTACTACTCATTATAAAAAGCTAAATACATAGACAATCTAATTCACCCTGTTCTTACTACGTTCAGTGTTGAAACTCCAAAGAATGAACAAAACATGTTCATATGACTCCTATAAAATGAAATTAGGACGTACTCCAATGAAAATGAATGAACATACTTGCTCAGCTCTCTTCTGCTTCCCATTAATTGATCACAACAAAGCAACAGAGGAGGTCGTATTTCCCAACTTCTGAAACAATTAGCTCACAACATCTCAAGTGGGAACCACTGTTAGTTTTTGTTTGGTTGGCTTCCTTTTTTATTAGGAAGAATGCAGTTATCCTCATTTAAACTGGCTAAAATGTTCATACCATTCTTTGTAATGACCGCATCTCAAAAAGATAGGTGTTGAGTGTGATTTTTAAAATATCAAGGAATAAACAAATACATGGAAAACCTTGTTCTACAAAATGCATTCAAACTGATCTCCTAATAACGTCCCTTTATGTCAATGGGATTAAATTAGCAGAGACTTTTTCCTAGCTGACCTTCAAATAATGTCCCTTTTTGTCAATGGAATTAAATTAGCAGACAGTTTTTCCTAACATTAGAAAAGAAAGAAAGAAATATAAAAGTAAAGGGAAGCAAGGAAAAAAACATACCTAGCAGTAAACTGCCAGTTTTCACCCCTGCGTAACTGCAGTTACTATTTAGTAAAATGGTGCTATGTTGAATTATTTCTTTCCTGTTAAGTTCCTTTCACCTGACAATCTAAAAAAAGATTTTTGAAACAGAAAACTTAAGAGTAGTAACTTTCCTCACAACGTATCTCGCATGAAGCTTGTGCACAGTTCCTTGAGCTAGTGATCATTTCTCAGTATGACGTACTCCTAATGGAAATTACTAGATTTTTTCCACCTCCCTGAGTCACTAACACAGCTTTTACCGAATATTTTATAATAAATATTGGTAGTGTTTGGCAAGAATTGGGTAAGTGACTCACCATCATCTAAAGGAACCTCTTCCTCCTCGCAGGGAGAAGGAAGGAGGGGCTGCAGAGGTTCCATGTTGATTATGAGTTGCTTGTTCAACGAGGGAGAGCTGCGACTCTGGGTAATGCTGGTTCTAAAAGAACAGGGAAAACAGGGTCAGTTTATTCACAAGGAAACAACTGCAGTCCAATCTCAGAATTGTTTTGCATAAATTACAATAGGCCTTGAGCTATCACAACAAGCTCTGCACACTGAACGCTGCTTTCAGCCATGTTGTGTTACACCCTCAGCAGATATAAACCTTTCAATATCTGAAGTGTAAGAGAAGGTTTTGTGCCAGTTTACTTCCCTTTTCTCAGCCTGACTCCTTCTCATCTCATGCAGGATTTCAGCGTGTTGCTCCTCTCCACACTGTGCAGCAGACATAAGCACTTGGCTTCAAGGAAGGGGAAGGTAGAGAGGATACAAATCATTTTCCTGATGATGTTCCATTGCCTCCGGGACTGGGTAAAGGATTTGTTACGGTTTGATTACTGCAGACGAAAGACTAAAGCAGGAACAACCGTATCCTCCAGTTAACAGACACACAGCGCTCTCATTCTCACGCACCCCAGACACTGCCTCTACACCATGCCTCCAAGTGCTCAGGCTGGTTTTCTTTCTTGTCTTACTTGGCTCTAACAGGCTTTCCTGACAGCAGGTGTTGAACTTTCTCAGGAAAGTTTGAGGAATGCTGATGATTTGCTTCAGTCATGAGGCTCATCAGCCTAAAACCATATTATTGAGAAAATAAAATGGCTCTTTAGAATGTTATCTAGCACTTACATGATACAGGCCTGAAGCAAGAATCCTGCAATAAATCTGAACCATTACATTATAAAATATTTACTTTTGACAAAAGCAAAGTTGAAAAGGAAGAGGATTCTACTTGACTTCAAATGGTACATAGGTACAGTGCTGAAGTTTCACAAAATGGATTTCAAGTTTGCACAAAGACTCAACTTAAAATTCCACATAGATAAACAAACTGAACAAAGCACCTATTGCAAGTGAAGAGACAGTGTGTTGCTGAGGGTTTAGGTAAACTCAGGTCACAAATGTCCTACTCTAAGTCACATTACGTGTCATTAAATATTCTGTGGGGATAAACAAACTTTCTTGCTCAATTGCCATGATTCCTTGCTTATTAACATATGCCCAAAGCTACTTATGTCCTCATTTGCATTCTGTGAGCAGTCTCTAATAACTATTTAGTTTAAGTTTTCACTATCCAAAGAAGTTTTTCACTCAGACTACTGTAATTACAATCACTGCAACCCAACGGTACCTCCACAGACTTGTTATGCATCCCCTGGATCTTTGTGCTTCTGTAAAGAGCTATCAAGCAACTCCCAGAACCAGAGTTGTGCCTGGGAGCACCCATAAGGCTCCTACTCCATACTTATTTACAAAGATCCCTCCTTCAGGCATGCCCTGGAAGCGAAATATTAAATCATTCACTGTGTATTTGTCAGAAGAACTTGGCACCGCATTAATGCTGCATAACTACACACTCCAACAGATTTTCAATCTGTAGTGCTTTAAGTGTAATATCCAAACACAAAGATATTGAACAGTTACCTCCTCACAACTGCATTTCCTTCTCAATGCAGCCATGGTACCACTGATTTAACTTGGAGGGAGGGGGCGCAGGGAGGGAGATGTGTATGTGTATGTGTATGTGTATGTGTATGTGTATGTGTATGTGTATATGTATATGTATATGTATATATATATAATTTGTTTTTTTTTTTTAACTTCAATCATATCGTTTCCTCTAAATGTTTTGCATCTGAAAAACTACCATTTCCTGCCCCCAAACCCTCTTTCATAGACTAACTTGTTTCTAAATCTTGCATTTTTTGGAGCTGAAAATTTTCTGTGCTTTTTGCCTACATGTGCTCTTAGAAGGACAAGCTATCTACTGGTCTCCCATTTCAAAACACTTGAAATCATTAGACATTTTCTTAGTCTTTCTAAGAAAGTGAACATGGAACTACCATAATATTGTAAATGCAAACATTTTAAGAAGGTTAATCATAAAAAAAATACATTACTATTTATGGGTGTTAAATCCATGTGACATTGCTCTATAAACTTTTTTGCCCTCTGATCTGTTTCTTTATGTACACTAAGAGTTTTAAACAATGTGTTTAAAATACTTTAAATACTGCAAGCAAAGAAAAGTAAAATACAAGATAAAAATTAATTTGACATGAAAATCTTTTCTTATCCTATGGAAGAAAGAAACCCTATGGAAAGTAGGCAATAAGCTATTTCCTTATGTGAGTAACTATTTTCATTTAAAATGCATTTGTGTGCCCAAGTAATCTACCCTGCCTCAATGATAGACCTATATTCTGCCTTCTGTGTTCTCAGTTAACACATTCTAGACCACCACTTACCCCACTTTTAAATGTAAAAGCATGTTCACAAGCAAAGCATGGCCTTACTACTAATTACATAATAGGGCTGGACAGCTTATTTATAAATATTTGCTGCACATATATTCCTGCCCTTTAATAAAGACAATCCACTTTTCTCTCAAATATAGACGGAATCGCCATATTCAATTAAAAATCAACCAAACACACACCCTTTGCCCCTAAAAAAAATCACAATAACAATAGGGATATGGCTGTAGAATGTCCAGAAAGTTAAGTAACCTTTAAAAAAAGTTTTTAAATAGCTTTTTCCTGCTGGCCTCTTTCTTCTCTTCTGAAGGACTTTAATTAGGTTCTTATCAATTTTCACTGCCACTACAATGAGTGATAAGGACCAGACAGTATTAGTTTGCTAGCGAAGTCCAGCTGCTTATTTCTAACAAGCCAAATCTTTTTTCTCCGAAAAAAGGGTGCTCTGATCTTTTTTCTCTTCACTTCCTGCTTTTTAATCTGACTGTATTATGGAAAAACTATCACGTATACCTTTAAACATACCCATATACATACACAAAATAGAATCTTTCAAAACTGGGCAAGAACTAGGAATGAAATGAGAACGTACTTTTCTGTCAAGATCATGTAATAACAGTCTATGTCATAACACAGAAAATAATATAAGCTACTTATCTGACTGATTGATTAAACCCAGTTTCGAAGCAGCACAGATTAAGTTCCCTTGTGGAGGAGACAATACGCTATTGTCAGAATTTTGTAACACTGGCAACACGTATTCCCCAAGGCTTGCATGTCTTATTGTGGAAGCTCAGAATGACAGCCATTACATCTCACAGTAAAGGAAAGAGAATTTCTCTGTAGAGAACAATAATCCTCCTTAGTCCTTAAACTTTAATATTGAATGCCAAGACATACCTGTGAACTTCAGGAGGTTCCCTCTGGATTTTAGAACTTGCCTCCACAACCTCTTTGGCTACTTTTCCACTGCATTAAAACGTGAAATAAATATTGAAGTAAATACTAAGATGAGCTCATTACACGCCAAGCACTATACATACATGAACAATTAAGTTACATTCAAAAGAAGAAAAAAAAAAAATCCCGTGTAGTGGATATATAATGTCCCGGATTAAAAATGCTGCTGACCACTTTCTGCAAAGCTACTGAAGAAAAAGGAACCTTCTGTAGTAAAACGCTAGGAGTGGGACTGGACTGCACGCACCTCTGGTCCAGAGTTGCCCAGTTTCAGGAGGCATACAATCTCTACACCAGCCACACATCCTTGTTTTTACAGAAACTGCACCAAAAGTGGAGCCCTGTTCTGGTGAAACTGCTCTTTGACAGAAGTCTGTATGAAGCCTCCAGTTTATTTTATAAGTGATGCTAAAGAGACAACAGAAAATGTTTCGAATCCTGACCTGGATTACGTGTGAACAGGTCCTCAAGAAGGAAAAGCCCTTAATTTGCCATGAGTAATTACTGACATTTTTTCTTACTTTCTGAAGTAGTTTACCATGAAAAACAAACAGCAAACACCCACCTATATCGAAATCTACTGCCTTTAAAAAATATCTTGCTGCTGGACATGGTCTTGATCTGACTGGATTTTGCATACCTTGAAGAAAAAGAACACAAGTTGTCACATCTTCAGCACAGAAGGAACCTGATAAGCAAAAACGAACAAGGCCAACTACAAGCTTTGTTATTTTTATACCACAAAGTAACATTCAGTAATTGGGCTTTCCAACTTTTTTTACGGCCTTTATACAAATTAGGATCTAAAGCATACATAAAACAATTCAGACAGCACAGAATGACCGAACATAAAACAAGTGATTACTGGGATAGGAAAGCAAGAAAATTAAATGCCGACACTTGCTGCATCTCTAGGGGCTTTCATTCGCAGGATGAAGGAAAGACCGTGGTACACCAAAAGCCCCTAGGACAAGTTTGCCCTGACACTACCTTGCTTGTGGGAAGATACGGCTATTTTCACTTTCCCACTAGTAAAGCAAAGAAATAATAAAGAAGTGGTAACACTTTGTAAGGGACTGAACTGTAAAGCATTTGTCTCAAAGATTGCTTGTCTAAGCGAAGAATAGTATGGGAGTGGCTGCGGGGCCATGGAGACCAGCTCTGGTTTGCAGGGGCTGTGCCGTGCGCAGGATTCGGTTGGGCTCAACCGAGGGTCACGAGAGACCCCGCGCTAGCCGCAGTCGTGAGGAGCGTGTGCGCATGTGCAGCCGCGTGCCAGCCGCGTGCTAGCCGCGTGCTAGCCGCATGAGGAGCGAGGCTGGAGCCGTGCGAAGCCTACGCACCTGCGCAGGAATGTAGCAACGTGCAAGTACCTGCCGTTGCCATGGAAACCACAGCCCCTGAGTGAGGATAAAGGGGGCTGCCCAGACAAGGCCAGGCGTGTCGCTCACTGCCGACCCCCCTGACACGCCGCCCACGACCGAAAG